CGACCCACCGTTTAAAGCTCGTAGACATCCACTGCTACGGCCTCTCAACGTAGCCTGTGGCGATGGCGGGAGGCACTATCGGACTGCTGAGACCGATACCTGTGTGCAAATTGGTTATCGCTGCGCCATATCATTGTGTTCGATAACTTGAACTGGCTGGGTGGATACAAGAAGGCAGTCATTTGTATGAGTAGCTACTTGTAAGCCGTTACCTATTCTGAGTGGTTTTATGTCGTCCTTTTGGCCGAGTTGACCATTGCAGTTACCAGCTGAGTCAAAAGAAGATTTGCTACAATATTTGTATAGTCTAAAACTGTTTAAACATGTCAACTGCACTAGCAAATTCATGATTTTCAGGTAGATGACCTGGGGACGACAACGTATGTGCGGGTTCTGTGGGCGGTGGGAAACTGGAGCTGTACACACTATTAGAAGACGCTCTGGCCAGGGGATGATGGATTGGATGCTACGGCAGCTAACTGAGACTGACATGATAGATTGTCTGAGAGAAAGAAACGTGATTGATTGGCAACACATGCTGAGCTAATGGATCGTATAACGTCGCAGTAGTCGTACTAAGGTGGAAAATCCCCCGTGCTCGTATCCATAACCAGCCAGTATCTAGGGCAATTGCAGGGTAACTGAACCACTTACGTACGTCCCACTCCTTTTGATCCGCGAACAAAAACTTAGGAGTTGTATGCCAGCGGGAGTTGCGAGCGGTAGAGACAAACACTAGGATACTTGCTGTTTCCGATTAAGCAAATGCTTTGCCCCTAAAAACTGTTTACTCTTAGATCGCACCGCAGAATGCCCTCTAAAGCCATCCGGCCGTGTTCGGTTTTTACTGCTGATTGAAATATCACTTTGCCTACTTGTCGTAACATCGGATACGTTAGCCTTGTAAACGTCCGCTAAGGACGGTAGTGTTGAGTGAATGAGGTATTTGGTTTCCGTAGAGACAAATAGAATAATGTTTGAGTAATTGCTCACGTACAAATAACTTAACCTTTTAACTGTAAGGCGTCGTCTGTGCCGCAATTTTATGAGGTGAAAACTGGACAACTATTTTGTGCTGTGATCTATAATAACGACAAAGACTCATGAAACGCGCTGCCCCAGTCCTACAATGGGTACTGATTATCTAGCGGGACTAACGTTTGTGTAAAATTCTCGTTGTCCCGCTTGCTCGTGAAGCCTTTAAAAATTGCAAACCCGCTGTACAACAAATCGGCGCTTTCATATGTTGATGACTTCCGAATTTGCTTAGGATGCTCGACGTCTATATGAATTTCTTAAGCCATCTGCTGCTGTGCTACAGTAGTCGGTCGGTGCTGCTGCGGACGGCTGAGGGCGCTAGTCCTCATCTGACTTCTCACACAAGAGTTAACAGAATGCATTTGAGAAATAAATTGTGCACTGCACGATTAAAATGAGGAAGGTCCGAATTTTAAGTGCAGTCTACACCCTGAATTGAACTAGCATGCATGCCCAGATACGCTGTTGTATTTTCCGGTTACAAGGAGTTTGTCAATTAATGTATTCTAGTAGGACTGGGTGTCTATCAACTTGTGGATGGCACTCAGTCGATGCATACAGTCGTACAGCTCTACCGCACGCTTCTTAAAGAAGTACACCAAAGTACACCCGAATTTTGATGATTTCTAAGGCTTCTGAATGACCTGTACATCCCTGACACATCCCAGTTGAGGGTTGTTGAAGAGCGCTAGCTTTTGCGAAAACAGTAGTTGCGTATTTCGTTTTCTAGTAATTTTTCATTTTAACGGCAGACTACTTCCTCTCCCCCTTCCAGTTTATTTTAGTACAAGAAGTTCATTCTACCGCTGTGGACGCCGCGGGACCAAACGCTGGCGTGCAGCTGGACTCTAAAGTCCGAAAGACGTTTCAAGCTCTGCACGATGCCTACGTGCGTCTCCTCTCTTCCCCATTCTATGTCTCAAACACTCCGATTAATCCCTCTGACTCAGCATCCGCAAAAAGATTTGAGGAGGTGGTTGATTCCCTTTTGGAGTACCCAAAATGAGTGAACGATCAGTCCTAAGTCTGTGATATTTGTCTTATTGTTTGGCATTTGCCGGTTTTTTTTTCAACAATCTTTCTTACCGGTCTGGAGTCCTTTTACTGTCGTTTTTTTCGAGAAGGGGTTGACTAACCTTGGTTACCACGGGCCCGATTACCAGTTACAGCCAGAAAATGGTGTCATTAATCATGTTACCTTCAATCGGACCAGCAAGTACATTACAGGAGGACCTATTCGTGAGCGCTTTAATTGCACATGATTGGAAAAAAACAATGATCACGGCAAAACTACTTTAATTAAAGTAAACGGAGACCCTGTACCATGATGCGAGGCTGATCCACCTGTTGCTGGTGGTCCTGATCACGCAAACCGCAACCTAAATACAGGAAATCTCTCACAGAGCAAGTTTGACGGTCACCGTGCCACTGCACGAAATTATCAAGAAGAGGAGAGAAGAGAACACGCGAAACCAAGATGATCGTCAGGGTTACTGCGTAGCCTTCTGGCGTTGTTCTCGACGGCTTTTCAACCAGGCATCGATTTGTGCCTTCAGTTCTGTAGCGGGTTCAACCATTGCCATTTCAAGGGGCTGTCGGTTGAAGGGGTCCGTTGCGTCACTGAAAGAAATAGAAGGCTGGATTTACTGTAAGGAATAAGAATGTGGGCGGCAAAGACGATATGTCCAGAGCTTCTTTCGAATCTTTCCGCCTGCATACTTAATCTCACATATAAACAGCTACATATTTGCCAGATATGGCGTTAAAATATTCAACTACAGGTATTATCTGCTCTCTATCCACCCATCTTATTTGACCGCGGCTTTGTAAGAAACGCACGAGGATAATCTACTGTGAACTCTGTCACTGGTAATTGGTGTAGGCTAGAAATCCATTGTTTTACCGAACCAGCAGAATATAGCTGGTGCCCTCATGACTGTTGACTTTCATGGCGCAGACCCTTTCCAAACTATCAAGCAAGGTCTGGTATTTCGGTGCAGTTGCTGGCGAGTGGGTTGCACTCACATTTTGAATTCGGTTGCAAGTACTCACGATCGCCATTGATAAAAAAACCAATGGCCCTGCCATGTAAGGAGCCCATGAACTACTGTATTTCCACACTTTCAGACTTGCTAGCCTACACCCACGCAAGGAACACTGTTAGATTATGCAGATGAGAAAAAGCACCAGGGTTGATAGACTACCATAAGTGGCGCTAACGCCGCTTGGACAGTCTTCTAAATTATAGACAGGACTACATTGCTGACGAAGACAAGGAAGACTTCAATAGCTATTTGCGGCTTGTTGGCCGTCATCAGCCCGACTTATACAATCCCAGGGGTGGCGAATCCCGAGGTTCGAACCCACGACCGTTTTAGTTGGAAGACCACCGCTGTAACCTGCCATCCCTGGGGTTGGGT